CGGCAATCCAGCTTGTACATACATATTCCACTTCGTTTCCCCGTGGAAGACTCATTCTGGTCAGCAATACACCCATACAAAACGCCGGATTATTGTTACAACTAGCTCCACGCGCCCCATAACAGCTGAGCACCAATTTGTGTACTACCGACTTCACTCTCGGGTATTCCGGACTCTGTGGACCCATATACAAAAATGGCTGACGAGGTGAATATTACTTACCAAACCTTTGCTCACTGTCAACGCTAATACCGCTATGATTTAGGGCGCATCACCCCGCGAGCTGGTCGTGGAGGCCTGCCGCCGGGACCAACCGCACCTAATTGAGCAAGTGCTGAACGATATGGAAGACAAGACAAATGAGCAAGTGGCACAATTCTTCAACGAGTTGACAGACTCTATGGGAAACCACGCATTGCACATCTGTGCCCAGTACGGCAGCTGTACGTGTTTACCTCGCCACTTCGTATCTTTCATGCAAGCTAACTCCTTTTTTTTGGTCAGATGATACCATGGACGCACTATTTGACATCCAATACTTCGAATGCGACCCGTTGACCCGGCTGGACAAGGACACACCGTTGCACATCGCAGTGCGGTACGCCAACGATAAAGACGCAGAACTCGGCGAGGCTATGATCAAGATGATGTGTGAGGCTGGCTGTGACCCTCGAGTGCGGAATAAGCATGGTCAGAAACCTGCCCAGCTGGTCTTCAACAATAACGAGATTAAGAAGATCCTTCAGCAAACCGAGTATATCATGGCTGAAGGTATTCAAAATACCGGGAATGGGGCTGACTCGGATGGTGCGGCCAGTGATAGCGATTAAAGGGGCAAGTTCAGGGTGTTCGCATTGTCATCAGTTGTATTGCAGACATTATCTGTTTCTGGTTAGAAGACTTGAGATTCTCTAGTCGCGATGTCTGTTTTTATACACGAGTCTTAGACTTGACCGCATCTTCTATTTCTATTTTACGATTATTATGAATTAAGTACAGTCCTTAAGGGTTGTTATCATAGAATTGACTTCTTGTTTCAGCGAACTACTAAAGTAAATGGAAATGCCATTCGTCTATTTTCGAGGGGGATATCACAAAGCTAAACTTTCGATGCCTTAACAAGCTTTTCTACTTGATCCAGCCACTTGCGGGAGAACTCTTCTTCGGTAAACCGTTGAGCTGAGCGACGGGCCCGCTGCCGCATGGCAAGTTTCTCTGCCTCCGGAAGAGCAAGGGCGGCCTCGAAAGAAGCAGCAAACTGCTCTTCTGTTTCAGCTCGGAATCCAGTTGCACCATCACCCAAATCAACGACAATGTCTTCACGTGGACCGCCCGAGTCGTGTGTCACGCAGATGAGACCGGCGGCTTGGTACTCGACGACACAAATACCGAAGTGCTCGTTCCACATGGCATTGACACCAACTGAGGCGGTACGGAGATGTGACAGCATGACAGGCCAGCTGGCGTCGCACAAGAATGTAGTATGGTCGCGGATGCGAAGTTCATGCGCTAGAAGGCGCAGGTTGTAGATGTGGGTTTCATCAGGGCTGGAATGGCGCACCGACCCAATGAGCACAAGACGTGGAGGGGGTTGGCCTTCATATGCTGGGTTCTTTGTTCGTTCCTGTAAGAATCGCGCAAAGGAGCGCAATACTAGCGGGTGATTCTTCTCTGGCCGGAATTGGGCGATGTAAAGTAGAACGGGCTGGCGAGTTTTCTCGCTCTCCGCGTCAACGTCGATATTTGATTCCAGTTCGGTGACTGCTGTTGGGGGGAACACCACCGCCGGCGATGACGCTGTCCCATCGCCGCTGCTATTGCTGTTTTTCTTGCCGGTGCCCCAGAGCTTGCGAATGTGTGCTGCCGTCCAGGATGAGTTGCACATAACTACATCGATCTGTCGACCGACCCAGCCATATAGCTTGGCAAATATCTCCCAGTATCGACGCTTGACTTTCCCTTTCCACCCTTTTCCTGCACCGGAGTTGATCCCTTGCACCCCGCTCTTGTCGTCGAGAGAGGCGAGCATGTCGGTTGATATGGTAGGGTAATGAACGTAAGCGCCAACAGGCACTGTCGGGAAAAGCCATTTGCACAGAGCGAGTGTGAATGCATAGCCCATGGTGTCAACAAAAACATCCGGTACAAGCAGCGTAAAGGCATCGTAGGCAACAACCAGTGACCCCAGCGATTGTCCAAGCAGCGTCATGTAAGGATATGAGCTACTGACAACATACTTGCGGGTCGTCAAGTATAGAAGCACCACGGTCGGAGCATGTAGGTGAATGTTGAACCTGTTCTCCACCTTCTCCAGCATCGTGGCTTTATTGACTTCATGGTCACCCGTGTAGATAGCACAGATTGCCTTCGGCCAGCGTTTCTGTGTTGCACGTATTGCTTCCCATAGAACTCGTTCGCCACCTCCGCCGGCATTGCTGTAGCACCTGGTCAGCGTTGTGTGTTTTGGCGTGTATAGAGAATGCCATACCAGAATGGGTGGAAGAACCCAATAATCCCATCCCAGTTCTCTGGACTCTGGTTGCTTTCCTCACCAGTACCACCACTGCTTTCACTACCAGTTGTAGTCTGTACCCCGCCTGGGCCTGAGCTATCCACCTTCTCCCAGTCCTCATCTTCGCCACCGTTCCGCGATACTGAAGTTGTTGAACCCTTCGGCCGTGAGGCGCGTAACTCCTCCTCTTCAGATCGCGCCCGCGCGATCACATACTCACGGCGAGACCGCGTTCGTCGCCATATCAGCCAGCCCACTCCCCGAAACACTAGACCTAGGAGAACGCCTGTTAGCTTCGGAAGCAGGACAGCCGTGGCGGTGAGGACCAGAATGGCCAGAATGACGTTTGATAAGAGGGCCATGGTGAAAAGGCAATATTTAAAGAGACCTCATCAGAAATCACACATAGTAAGAGGATTTGAGGTCAAACTGGAGAACAAGTCAGATAATGCTCCCCCTCTCTTGCTGTCAACAAGTTGATCGGGCCAATGAAGTAATCACGTGTCACATGATGATCTCCAAATATCCGATTGCCGGTCCGCAATTCCTATAGCCTCACCTTTTTTTTAGCCATCTTTTATTTTATTTTTATTTCATCTCTCACCCCGCTAGCAGTGATGCATGCCCTCTGCTCGTCACAGGCTCTGCACTTAATGCGGCGAGCTATACAATTGCCTCGCTCGCAAGTTCGACACTTCCACCCAACAAGACCAACCTCATCCATCGTCGACCTTGCACTTGACTCCTCTACCGCATTTATTCACGGCGTCCATTCTGTTTCATGTTTACCATGGGCTGCCTCAATCCCTTTAACGGCTGTACTTGTTCGTACATTTGTCGGGTTGCCTATCATGTTATACACTCGACTCCATCGCCATCGCGAAAAGAAAATATCGCCAATTATAAGCGCTTGGGCGAGGAGATATGCAGACAAAAGGAGCAGAGAGCTTTCCAATGTGCCTCGCAACGATGTAACACGTTCTCAAATGGGTAAAGAATTATATGGCAATATAAGAAAACGAACAGCTGAGCTTCATAAGCGTTGGGGAGTATCCGGAAAGCACAAAGCAATCGCCTTCCTGCAGATACCTGTCTTTATTGCGCTTATGGACAGTCTGCGTGGGATGAGCGGCAACAATCGTGGTATCATTGCCTGGCTATCGTCGTTCATCGAGTCGCAAGACCCTGCCTCCGCAGCCCAATCTTTGCATTTAACCATCGAGCCCACTCTTGCGAACGAGGGTGCCCTCTGGTTCCCGGACTTGCTGGCCGGTGACCCCACAGGCGTGCTGCCATTTTGTCTGACTGCGTCGATATTGGGGAACGTTCTGCTGGGATGGAAAGTCAAGCCTTGGAAGACGATTTCGTTCCTCCCAAAGAACGAGATGTACAAGCAGCTCTCTTTCACCGGTTTGCGGTCCTTTGTCATAGTTTTGACATGCTATATTGGATTTGCGAGCTTTGTTCAAGAGTTACCAACTGCGCTTATGCTCTACTGGATCACCAGTACCAATGTTGCCACGCTGCAAACCTGGGTACTTGACAATAAGGTGTTTTCACCGGTAGAGATTGGCGTATACAAAAGGCAAGCCATTGTTTTCGAGAGGCCGGGCGATAATGATCCTTTCCAGTTGAAAAACTTGCGCTGATTCCAATTGCGAGAATCGTATCATTTGGAATGACATGGGTTCTTTACCTTGAATCGATGATGGTTCGTCCAGCGATGCACCATTACAGGGTTGCGAGCTACCCACGCGCTGGTCTAAATGAATTCCAGAGTTTTATTAAGATGGAGGCCACATTCAGGTCGCGACAGGACACCGCTTGGGGTTGCGCGTCGACATTCATAACCCCCCTGCTCCAGGATGCACATAGTTCGTCGACTAGTTTCGAGGTTCATTTGTGCATAATTCTCCTTGCCCACCCGTTTTCGAACATGTACAATACCTTTTACTTCTCATAATACTAGTCGGCCGCGTATGCGGCCTCTGTTCTTACCGACGTACGACTTCAGTAATCTCATATATGTAGGGTTTGAAATGAACGAGCAATAATTTAGGTTTCTCTAGGGGTGGTACTCTTTTAGTAGCTTAATGTTCTCTCGAGCGGTTATCAAAGATTTAGAAGGGACTGGATTTATATGAACCATGATGTAAAGCGACCTAGTGACTCCAGATGATGGACATTATATATATCAATCACAATCCGACTTCTGTTTTCATATTATTTTCTTTCGCTATGTTATAGGTAGAAAAATAACAATTAGCTACAATAATACAATATACCTAAGGTAGGACTAGGATACATATCGGGCTTATGCGGTACAAGGCATCAAATGCACAGCCGACTTTATTTACATAATCTGGAGATTGCAAACGACTCGTAAAATTGACAAAACTATGTATTCTCTAGGAAATTGCAAGACGTATAAGAGCCACCCTTCAAAATGCTTTGGAAATGTCACAAATAGAACAAGACAAAATAATGCCTAAAGCTTTGACTTGGGAGGCTGTTCCGAGGCGCTCGCTTCCTGGTTGACTTCCACAGTGCGCGAATCAGGGCCCTGACCAAAGAAGATGACCTCGACAGTAACATCGTCACTAAGAAATGTTAGCCAAACCGCCCAAAAAGTAAACGTCAAAGGGACAGATATCCTTACCGGTATCGGCGAGAGTAAGGACTGGGTAGCGTCAACAACGCACACACCATATCCTTGTCCTTTCCGCCCATTGCATTCCGCACAAGATGCGTTGCTGCGTTCTTGTCCTCAACAACAAATCGAGTAGCCGCGCCAGAGATATCATATTGCTGCTGACGGATAGGACGCCGTTGGCCCTCGCTCGATGCGTCGGTTGCAGCTTCTACGGGCAGTGTCTTCTGACTATCGAACCTGAACCAGCTCTGTAACCAAGCCTTGCTACCCGTGCTCGCAGCAGCAGATTGTTGCTGCTCAACCCATTGACCAACCAGGCCGACCACTTCTTCATTGCTCAGCATCTCCCACAGACCATCGGTAGCCATGACGACAAAGTCGCCCTTGGAAGGATCGATTTTGGTGGTAGTAATGATAGGCTCGGCAGTGACATAGGGGGGCGTCTTCAGCATTGGATGAGGAGTGCGCCCAAAGAACTTCGCTTTTATCGTATCTTGAACATCCCGGCTCCATTTATAGAAAGCGTCACCGAATGCACGGCTGGGTTCGAGCTGGCCCAGGATTCGGCCATTCTTCGTGACATATGGTTCGCCGGGGTGCTCCTCGCGCAAACGTTTGATTTCAGATGGGGTACCACCAGTCTGGTCCTCGGAAAGAGCAGTAGCGGTCCATTTCCCGCTAGGGCCGCGACGGCCCAGAACTGCTCGAGAGTCTCCGGTAACAGCAACCCTGAGGTCTTTGGACTGGGAGTCATAGAAACTGAGAAGAGCACATGATCCTGAGAGAGCAGGAGCAAGGAGCTCGGCAGCGACCCGTCGTGATTTAGATTTCATGACTTCCTTGAAACTCTCATGTACGATGTCATTGTCGAGGCGGACGAAGCCTTTCTTGATGGCAGCATCGATAGCCTCGGATGTTGGCACGAGGAGAGATGGATCGGCAGAAGCAGCCTTGTAAGTTGTGTTCAATTCACGGGCCACATATGAGATCAAGACATTGCGCAATTTCGCAGATGTGGTCCAGCCCCTGACTTATAGTTAGTATCTGCGTCATAAGTATTCAACCTTGAGCTAGCGTACGAGTGACCGTCAAAAACACCCCAGAACATCCAGTCACTGCTTGGCTCGCCATTGCTGACAGCAGCCACGGATGCTGGGATCTCCACTATCTTCTCCGCATGGTCGTCCTCAATGGGGGAGTTGCTGGGAACCTGAACAACATCGTAACGAACAACACCCTTGCCCCGATTGACCAAATATGACTCCTCGTTCTTACGAAGCTTCTGGGTCGCTTGCTCGGGAGTCAACATCTCGAGGACTTGGCGGTCTGAATCGTCTGTATGCTTGGCGAGAGGTTGGTCTTTGGAGAGCGTCGTGGTGTAAAATTGATCGCCGCTGACCAGCAATGCACGCCGTGTGGTCTCAGCCGGTCCTTCTGCGTAGGCGGAGTTGAGGGCACTCGATGCGAAATCCCGGATCTGGGTCGCTGCCGATTTAACGGTGTCACCCTGATAAGTATACCATGCCCCAGAGGCAACGACGGTCGAGATAACGGCGAGGGAGAGTTTGCGGCGATGCATAGATAATTGAAAAGCTACTGGAGTGTGTGATGAGCGTCTGCTGCCAGTATATGGCCGAATACCTCGCAGCTGGTTGAAAGTCAAAGGGCACGGCCGTTTAGCGGCAATGTTCCATACTGGTGCAAGCCGAGCAGTACGGCAGGCCTGAACAGTCGCCCGACGCATTGGTCCAGCGATAATAGGACAGCTGATAAATTTATGTGCCTTTTCAAGGCAAATAACCGCTTTGAGAATGTATGTAGAGAGGTTTCAAGCTTGTCAAGGAGCTGGGTCTCCGCAGATGAAAGTCACGTGTAAATGTTATCCAAAGGGAGCTAGTCCGTATTAGTCTCTGTCGTCATTCCCCGCGGGTTTCTTTCGGCGCGCTCTTCTCGCTTTCTTTACTTTCGCAGGCAGCTTCTATTCTATACTTCCAAAGGCTTTGCCTCGGTGTGTAGGATGTCATCACGAGCAATCCGAAAACTGCAGAAGCTGCGTGAACAAGAACAGCAGCGAGAATCCGATCAGCAAGATGAGTCAAGCGAAGACGAAGCCCCGCGCCCCACGAAACCGAAGTTCAATGCCTTTGATTTGCTGAACGCTGAAAATGAGGATGAAGAGGAAGATGAGGAGGATATCGAGGAGGAACCACCAGAGCCTGAACCAACTCCGATAAAACTCAAAAAGAGCAACAAGAAAAAGAAGAAGAAGAAGGCAGCCAAAACCTCTAATTCGGCCAATACCCCGCCTTCAAAATCGAATGAAGGAGATTTGGACGAAATTGATCGGGCTTTGAAAGAATTATCGACAGGTGGGCATTCGTCGGTTGGCGCAGGTCTATCTACCAGACACAATCCCGAGGCCTCTTTCCCAAAGACTACGAGCGAATTGCTCGGCATTGAACCCAAATTTCTCAATGCGACGAATGAGATGCGCAGACTGTTTGGAAATGTCGTTCTGGAAAACTTTGATCAACCAACGGATAATGGAACGGGCCGTCGTCGGGATCGCAATCGACAAATGATCGACCTTGCTCAAGCCTTGACGGGAAGATACAGTCCAGCTAGCCGAGGTCAAAGTCTGGCTGGAGTTACATTGCGACGCAATGTTCTTATGCAGGGGAAAGATGAGTGGCCTCGTGCTCCAAGTGGAGGGCTAGGCATGGAGACTGTGGAGAAGCTTCCTTCCGGGGAAACTCTCTACCGAATAGTGCACAATACGGCCTACCAAGATGTACAACGGCAGTTCGACCTCTGTGTGGAATCGATGGACCCACAGAGACTCATCGGGCACCTCCAATACAACCCTTACCATATTTCTACGCTTCTCCAAGTGTCAGAGATTGCCAAACACCAAGGCGATCATGCTGTGTCTGCTGATCTGATGGAAAGAGCCCTATTCAATATCGGACGCTCAGTACACTCTTCGTTTGCCAATCGCCTCAAGGAAGGTGAGGCCAGACTTGATTTCATGCATGCGGAGAACCGAGAGCTCTGGCTGGTTGGGTGGAGGTACATCACCAACCTAGCAATGAAGGGCACATGGAGAACCGCTTATGAATGGGCCAAGCTCTTGCTCAGTCTGGATGACAGCGATCCTTACTGCATGAGATTGCTCATCGACCACCTCGCGCTCCGAGGTAGAGAATATGCACAATTCGTGCAGCTCTGCACCCAGACACGTTTCAGTCGCGACTGGGCCAACCTCCCCAATATTCAATGCTCCCTGGTAATGGCATACCTCCGGTTGAATAAGCCCCAAGAATGTCGCCGACAGCTGCATCTTGCCATGTCCCGCTACCCGTGGATATTCAGCAGGCTAGCACAGGAACTTGATGTTCAGCACGTCCCCAAGCAAATATGGGGCAAGATGCCTCCTACAGGCGCTCATGAGCTGCTTACCGAACTCTACATCGCCCGCGCCAAGGACCTTTGGAATACTCCCGAGGCTATTTCTCTCATTATGGAAGTCGCAGATTCTATCTCTGGCGAGGAGCCTAATGACCCGCCAGAGATCACTTTGGACATCGCTCGTCATGTGGTCTTGTCCGATATAGCCAAAGTGACAACCCATCTTCCAAACCACTTTGTGGCTGGCCGACTATCATCCTCTGACCCTCTCCCTCCCTATGAATCCGAAGCCTATAAACAACAATCTGAACCTACACCATTATATGCAGCCCCTGCTGGTGGTGGCGAAAATTGGCTGCAGGATCTCCTTGGCCAGATCAACCACGACGCCCGCCCTCCCTATGTCCCATCGGACGACGAAGAGCCAATTGGTTTCGAGGATGAAGACGAGGATACAGAGCACTTCGATATCCCACACTCACGCCCACCACTCAGAGATCCGGCGGCCCTTGAAGGGTGGCTCACGCGCGAGGGTCTGCAAACTCTTCGTATTTTCCTTTCTCAATACGGAGTCGATAGAGGCAATTGGAGCGAGGTAGTTGTGGACTATGCACCTTTGACGAATTATCTAGAGGCCATGGCGGCAATCACAGAAACAGCTCGCCGACAATTGTTAGACAGCACTATCAAGGACTCTCTTGGGGATTTTGCGGTCAGCATGCTCGAGGACGAACTCGCGATTATGCGAGGAGAATAATTCAGCTTCATGATTAGCACTCTGTGTTAGTCTGGGTACATAGAAAATAATTGGATGATCCTATGTACAACAATGAGATTGTAGTAACATTTATAGCATGGCCCTGGGCTATGTTGGAAATTCCACTGAAATCAACACATTAACTATTTTTTTCGACTTTATTGTATTGCTTAATCACCGACTGCAAATATTCTCTTGCCCCTTGACTTCACTATCACCTTTTAAATTCGAACATTGACTCGAGGTAGAGGAAGTCAAGGTCACAGACGGAGCTGCGGTTGAGAGCGAGGTCAAGAAAGACGAAATGGTGCTCGAGGTAGAATTCAAAGTCACAGACGCAGGGCTGCTAGAGAGGGACATGGACGCGGTAGAGCTTGCAGTCAATGGCGCTGAGGACAAACCTACAGTAGGTGTATCGTAGATATAATCGATCTGCACACAACAGTACAGACCAGGGAGCATTTCACAGTCCGATCTAGTCTTGGTTATAAATCGGGGTTGACAGAGAAGCCTTAGTGAATGTTTCAACAAAGTTCAACCAGTGTTCGTCTTACCCAACTCCGCCGCAGTGATACCATAGACCCTCTCACAACTCACAGGTGGCATATTGATGTACGCAACCCAATAGCTGCAATCTTCGGTGCTGTCTGGGGAGGGAGTGCCGTCTGGGGTAATGAGATAGGCTGCTGCCTGCCCTAGGGCAAGGCTGAGGGCAGAAAGGAGTGAGAAGGGAGACTTCATGGCATGTTCTGAAGTAGTAATGGGAGCTTCAAGATGGATAGTAGTCTAAGGGATCAATACTCTATGAATTAAATGTATTCTGCAATAGCCATGTACATCAATACCTTGGAAACCCGAAATCCTTGCAAGCACTAGCGTAAGATATTACAAGCTCGGATTGATATCCATAGCACCCGAACACTATACAGTGGGGCCAAGCAAATGAGGAAAGGGATCGCCCATATGTACATGTACCTTTACTACGGAGTAGGCATATCATACAAAAGACTGTATGGAGTACTCCGTATATTGTGAGTACTCCATACAATATACGGAGTACGGAGTAGTCCTGCTCTTAATGGCAGAGATAGTGGCAGAAATCTAATTAGGAAGGCGGTGCCAAATTGCCAGGCATCAAGGCATTTTCAGGCAGGAGCGATCTGGAAGGTGGCTATGTCCTGCCCTATACTGGAACTCTTTGGCAAATTTAATGCGGAATTCATATCCTATGGGACTAACAATTATGTGGATTGTATATTCGAATCTATCATAGTAGGTAGCACTCCGTACAAAGTACATCTGTAGCACATATTACCATAATGAAGTGTATCATTGGCTGTAGAAATCCCCCAATATGCTTGGCTGATGCACACATCCCGCAATGATAGATTCAGTCAATTAACATGTTTCTAGTTTAAAGAGATTATTCCAGAATACACATACTTTAGTATATTAACATATGTCAAGAGATTTCCTCCAGGGCTATATGTGCTTAGACCCTTGAAAGCCTGGACATGGCGGGACTCTGGCCAGGAGTAGTTAGATTGTGTCATGGCCTTATCTCCCGCGCAATTTTCTTTCACTCCAACACACATTTGTCGCAGAGCATAGACAGCATGGAACAAGGCCCTATACATTTAACAGCCCGTGAGGCTGCATCTGGTCTCTTGGGCTCAGTCTCTATGACCTGCTGGTTTTTCCTTTTGGTATGTTTAACAACCAGACTCGCACCTTGAAACCCAAAGTGGACACAATCCATATCTAACAATACTGTTTCAGGTACCTCAACTAATTGAGAATTATCGCAATGGCAACTCAGAGGCTATATCTCTCCTCTTCCTCTTTGTTTGGTTCGTCGGCGATGTCGCAAACCTTGCCGGCGGCCTACTAGCCGGGCTTGTGCCCGTGATCGTTGCGATCGCGGTATACTTCTGTATGGCAGACGGCGTGCTGATCGCGCAATGTTTGTACTATAAAGTGCGCAACTCGCGTCCCGAGCCTCTCCACCGCCGACGCTCGTCCACAGTCTCTGTGGACCCGACTACCCCGTTGCTGGGGCGGCGATTCAGCGAATCTATCGCGTCGCGGCGCCGGTCGTCGGGCTCACTGCGCCGTTATCACACTGGTGGCCGGCGTGAGAGTGAGGTCGAGGATACCCTGGCCAAGATCGTCGAGGAGAATGATTATGGCCGCAAGGCATGGATCAAGAATTTTACTAGTGTTGTTGGAATTTTCCTCATTGGTGCGACTGGTTGGACCATGGCTTGGCAGACCGGAATGTGGGCGCCGGCGCCTTTGGATAATAACAATGGTTCCGAGGAGGCTGTTGGGGGGCTGCTGCTGGGGTATTTCAGCGCCGTGTGCTATCTGGGGTGAGTGTCTCCTGCCGTTATGGCTGATGAGTTGGTATTGACTTTGATTGCAGAGCGAGATTGCCTCAGATCTATAAGAACTGGAGCGAGAAGTCGTGCGAAGGTATTTTTTACCGTCTTCACATGCACGTATCAGGCCGGTATTGACTTTTATCTAGGGTTGTCGCTCTTGTTCTTTATTCTCTCTCTTATGGGAAACCTGACTTACGGTACAGGAGTGAGTGATACTACAAGTTGTACTATAAACTGGACATAAGCTAATGATGTTCATATAGATTCTCTGCCATTCTACAGAGAAAGAATATTTCCTCACCAATCTTCCTTGGCTTATCGGATCTCTGGGAACTATTGTTGAGGATGCCGTCATCTTCTTCCAATTCCGGATCTACGCTGTTCAGGACCCTCATCTCTCGGCGATCTCCTAAATATTGACATTTGCTCACATTTGACTGTTTCGTCTAGAGCAATGACCTCTATATACCGTCAAATCTAAAAGTTGGTTTCAAGCTCAAAAATCTTTGGATGGGAGATGATTTGCATGCGTTCGTTGGTGATGCTGGACATCAAAAAAGTTTGGAATAGCATAGCGTTTGTTTTATAGTGGACTGGTGACTGATGCGATATATACACGTATGGTTGCTAGTGTCAATTCAATGTACATCCATAGTCCATAGTAAGGGTGTGTTACTCGCGATAGCGCAATCCTGGAATGACTATGATATTATGGAGGAACACAGATAGAGTGATTTTCAAAGTCTACGCATGTTATACTTCGTACTTTGTATCGTCGATGTGGACTCTAGTCTGCTGAGCGATAACCGCAAGGGCTTGGTGCGCTCAATGAAAGACTACCTTGATATCGAAACACCTGAGACATATCCAACATCCGCGATCAGCGCTACAGAACTACGTCCCATGCCCTACGAACAAGTACCCCAGATAAGAATCAGACGGCCTTCGTTGTTGGTTCATGGTCGCAGACAGACGTAACACGAGGACCAAGAAATCGAGCTGATTCATGTGGAGGGCGAGAAACCGAATCATACATCTACTCGCCAGACCAAAGCAGAACTTTGATCATGGACAAACCAAGAAGTGTGCCAAACGTCTGTCTTCAATTCCCCTAAAATCCTGGAAGCAACAATAGTTTCGGAATCGCAGCGGTATCCGATCCAGTCTACCTCGGCCACATCATGACGCGGAGGCACACCGAGAACCCAGTCTCCATTGAATGTCCGTGTCCGTTTGAATTCTTTTGCTAATTTTCTTTTTTTTCTTCCCCGGGTTCTAGGTCGTAGCGGGGTTCGTGGAGTATCGAGTACAATAGAGAATCGTCGAGGGAGCCGCTATGCGGCAGTGGGAAAAGAGGTTGAGGAATAAAGAAAAAAGGAAACGAGTTTTTAAATTCGATATGAAGATAAGACGCTTAGTCGAAGAGACCGAAGCCCATGTCCTCATCGGACTCCTCCTTCTCTGTAGTGGGGATTAGTACTGAACTCAAAACCAGAGGTGTATATCAAAACTTACCCTCCTCCTTCTCCTCAGCCTTGGCCTCAGCGGGGGCGGCAGCAGCGGCACCACCAGCGGGGGCAGCGGCAGCGGGGCCAGCGGAACCGACGTTGGTCAGGAGATCCTTGATGTCCTTACCCTCGAGGGCCTGTGTTGAAAATCGAATTAGTTATCGCATCTTAAATTGTCGCGCGCGGCCATTTTCGGGTTTCTTCGATATTGGCGCGGGTTGTGGAACGGAATCAGGTATTTACCCGGGCGAAGATGGAGGCCCAGATGGGCTCAACCTCCTGGACCTTGGCGGCAGTGATGAGAGTCTGGATCTTGTCGGCCTAAATGATGATGCAAGGTCAGTCACAGTTTTCGCATGATTGTTGTTTGATCCTAGTGGTTTCGCGGCGTCTTGTTGTGTCTACCCCGAAGCTCAAATTCGCACAGTAAATAAAGCTTCAAGTGTGATCTTCAAGCCTCCACCATCCCACCAAAATCAAGGAATTTTGGATACTTACGGAGACCTCAATACCGTCATCGGCCAAGATGAGGGCGGCGTAGGAGCAGGCGAGCTCGGCGGTAGACATGTCGACGGGTGGTGTTGACCGGACTGGGTGTCTTGAAGAGAGTTGGGGATGGGAAAGAAGAAGAGAGTAGAACGCCAATGATAGACACCCGAACAGGGCAAACGCGCCGTGTGTGGGAAAAAGCCCTCGCTTAGGGCTTGGACTAATCTGGTTTAGCCTATTCCCCTCCTCGTGACTTGGCGCTAAGCCGCAAACGGAGCTGAGCCCAGATGACATAATGATATAGATGACATAATCCCCCAGTAAACTGCGCGGGGCGTTTCGTATCTGCAGGATCCCCTATCAATCGATCCATTCATTAATTGACATCACATCCCGGTAGTTGTACTTGTCTTCACCTTGAAAGAAACTTGTTCTTTTATCCAACCTGTTCTCAACCTTGCTTTTTCCAACGTGCCCACTGATAATATCGCATTCTCTAACCATGGAATCCCCCGCCATCCCGGTCCCGCTGGATCCGCGGGAGCAGCCCATCCTTGAAAACCTGCTCCGGACCCGCGACGCGCTGCTCCTAATCAAGCGGGATAAGTCCTCATATGTAAAGTCTCGCGATGTCCTACCGCTTTATGAGGAAGTGATCGCAGAAGTTGAGAAACTCAATTCCGTTCGTAAAGAGCAAGATCGCCGCTTGGTACACAATCGCCGTGAGTTTAGTAGACCTTGCGCTCGACTTGGAGGTGACTGACGCTCAATGATAGTGGATTATATCTTGGATGATTGCTTTCAGTTGATTTCCCTACTGTTCTTGACAGTTGGGAAGAACAACGAAGCTCCCGCAGTGTGAGCGATAATGTTATTACCCCGCCATCTTGTGACAGTGACTGACATTTTGCCAGATACTCCTTGGCGACTACTATCCAGGTATTGACTCCTATAATCTCCTTCGACTCTCGTTAGCTTTGCGCTCTGGGTACTGACGATCTTGCAGCGTTTACTCGACCACCTTGAAGAGGCTGGATTCTATAGCTCGAAGGACTTGAACTCGATCACCAAGACACTAGAGTCTACCCGGGAAACTCTTGAGCGTGGCCGAAACACATACTCACCCGCTCTCCTCACGCTCTTGGAAAGCCGTCTGGAACACTGTGACCAGTCACTGGCGAAGTTGCAGAAGGGTCTTGCTGTATTGGCTCCTTCCTTGGTGCAGACACACGAGACACTGGTTTCAATTCTGCGGTCTACATCAGCTGTCAACACTCGGTCAAAAGTATGGCATCGAACAATTCTATAACCCATCTGATTAGTACTAACTCACTGTTAATTGCTAGTTCTCGGCTGCGGAGGTAAACGCTCTTCGAGAACAACTGAAGAAAATTGAAAAGACATCAAAGGACGGCAACTTTGTTGACGACGAGGGAAATGTTCTTGCCGGGCAGGAAAACGTCAAGTCTTTGATTCACAGGTGTTGGCGATGGACTGAAATTGTGCTTGAGCGGTATGTTTTAGGCTGCCAACGGGATGACAGACATCGACTGATTCAAATACAGAGAGGGCAAAATTGATGAGCGGTTCCGAGATCAATACGAACGATTGTTGGACATCCGCAACCAACTGGATCGTTTGTCTGTAACACAAGCTTGGTCGCTCCGCGAGACCGATCTCTTCGTATACCAGCGAAAGCTCGACCGAATTGACGAGGCACGGGTTAATGGAAATTTCATCGATGCTGAGGGCCAGCCGGCGGACCTGCATGCGCAGCGAGTAAGAATTTATTTTCGGGCATTCTTTGGTGGATTCTGGCTAACATGATCAGACGCTTCTATACCTCATTCGTCGCAGTTATGCATACATCTATGCGCTTTTGATTTCATCAGAGCCGGTATCTGAAGCTTTACTCCCAGTCTACAACCAACTTCAAACTCTCCGCCGGTGCTTGATTGAAGTCAAGGAGTCTGGGGGTGTTGCAAATTCACGCGAACTTTACCCATACAGCATGAAGGTATGTAACCGTCCACACGGCTTGCGTATAAAGCTAACCAAAACAGCTCAACTCGATTGACAACATGCGAGTTGACGGGAAATTCTACGTGGGTCCAGATATCCCGGAGGGACAGGGCTGTGTCAATAATCTGCTAGCCGAATGCTACGATTTGGTTTGGGAGCTCCGTGCCGCTGTGGTTGGCGAGGAAGGAGAGTCTTAAAACAACAGGTTCTTTAGACCAATGCCTTTTTTTTTCTCTACCTATGTGTTTTATTTCCGTCGATGTTTGTGGATTTGCGCCGATTTTGATGAAGAATTGGCCATGGAATGTCTTTGGCATACAGTGGTCTTTGATTGTATGATCAGAGTCTTACCTTGTTTTCTCTTCTTTTTCTTTATGTGACGATAGGCGTTTGAGATGGTATGGCATTGGCATTTGTCTTGGGAACGAGGGCACTCCGGTGTCCTCTGGTGGTTTTACTTCGAGTTTAATGGAATTTCCCTGTTAACGAACGATTCTTGTTTGTTGTCTCTTGCTTTCAACTAAGAAAGCACATGAAAAAGCTAATTTGGTAATTGTGTTATTCTAGCTACACCTCCAATCTTTGCGAAGAGAAGACAAAGCCCTGATTTTGCTCAGGGAACCTTCAAATATCAAGTATCGAGTCCTTAAAAAGCCGATTAGCAAGATTACTCCATTCAGCAACCGACCCGTTCACACGGCTCAAGTTGACTAAGTAATATTTCTGGCAGAAGCACCCGCTTTGCTATCCATTCCATCCCGTTCCAGTAGAAGAAATATCCCTTGAATAGTCGCAGAGAGTGGGGATCAAGATCTGTGAAGTCGACTTCATCAACTTCATCCACGTCTTCCATCTCCAGAACTTCACCGTCAATCCCGTGAACATCGAGGTAGCAACTGCATGCTGTGGTACAGTGGCCCCGGTCACGGGCCCCGTCTGTATTGACCTCAGTCCTCTCGCAGGATCCACATCCGCGTCCATAGCAGCCCCTCGTTTTGCACAGTCTTCACGAAGCACACCCGAGAGATACCAATCCGTGTGCTTTCTCTGCCTTATCAATGCTCGTCTCGCCGAAGTGCTCCATATCTTGTCTGACTTGATCCATTGTTCCCCGTGACTATCCCAGTATCTCGAATTGAGGGATCCATACCCCTATGGGCTCGCCAGTTTCAGAATTTTGAGCCCTTGCTCCCGGGATGAAAGGTGTCTGTTCATGGACCCAAATCATTCGTTGGACAATCCAGCGTGTTTCAATATCAGCATCAATCGGTGATTTGCATCAAGCTATGTCTTGTGAGGCTCGTTTGATGTGAGAATGATAGCACACCGCTTGGGCAAGCTTATACAAGCCCTGAAGCCGAAGTGCATTTTCAACCAATTCAGTCTCTTTAACTTCGCCAAGAGGTATAATCGAGATGTGCTAGTTCTATAATCTTGCATTTACCGTCGAGGCTTAGTCTTGCGTGGTCTCTTCATAACTTGGCAGGTTTTCCGAGGACTGAGAGTTGGTAGCAGATTTGAGGATTGAAAAATCATCATCTTGTAATAGCTCCTTCTCTAAAAAGGACATGGTCAATAATTTCAATAATTTCAACGACCATTTTGGGTTGCGGCCGCTTATGGAGTTGTCATCATAACAGCTAATCTTGGATTGCAACTAGAACTAGCATAACAGCAATAAATAGTAACAACTAAAGCAATAGACAGGTTTGACATAATTGTAGCAATGTCATCCAACAAAAGAACCAGTCGGTGATTTCGCGGTGAATCCAACTTGTAAATCTGTTAACTTCATTCCGCCTTGGGTAAATTGAAAGCATAACCCATCAGCAGTCGTACGCTCTGATGTGTCATACAAGAGGGCTTCTTGTACTCAAAACAAAGCTCTTCTAAGTCTGGTATCTCTTCAACTAACAAGATATCCAAGCCTTCAACCCCATGGGCCTTCATGCAGCAACTGCAGGCTGTAGTACAATGACCTCTGGTGCCGATATGATCTTCGAATCCATCAACCGTCCGCGGCCTTTCACAGCAGCCGCAGCTCCGCCCGCAACAGCCGCCTCGTCCTGCACAATCATCGCCCAACGAAGTAGAGAGATACCAGTCTGGATAGGATCTTTGTATATTATATGCTCGACTGAATGACCAGCTCTTTATGGATTCTTGTTTGTTCCAACTCTTCCTGGAAACAGCCCAATGACTTCTATTGAGATCCTGGAGCAGTCCTTTGTAGAACTCGAGTTGTGACGCATGTTCGGCTTCATCTTCAGAGGATAGAAGTAGCTCTGATGAGGTTTCCAAGGTTTGGACTTTTTCTTGAATGCGGGCCCTTCTTTGAGCAATCCAACGCCTCTCGATATCATTTTCAATTAGTTCCTTGATCCAACTTTCTGGCCCCCTCGGCTGTACCCTATGCCAAAAGAAACACCAATATAGCACTATGGCAAGCTGGCCGTAGCCTGCCTCTTTAAGCTGAGCTTCAACCTTCTCGGCATTTTGGCGGTGATGATCGCTGTCATATATACGACTCGGGGCGTTCCGAATAAGAGTTTTTTTGTCGTCAATATTCAATTCGGTTGAAAGCAGGTGGACAAGAAGGTCTTCAGGCTTCTGAGCATTTTTTGTTTTCTTCGTCAATTTATCCAGCAAATCTTTCTCGGAGGATTTCTCGAGAGACTTTGCGATCTCTTGATAAGTCGGAAGTTTCTCGGAGGGTTGCATCTCGCCTGCCTGAGGCTCGGTGGCTTTGTCCTTCTGGATAATGTTGAGCTTAGCACTCATAGCGAGTATTAGAAAACTGAACGATGCTAAAACTAGGAAAATGGTGGACATGGAAGGAGAATTCGGCAGGCCGTATTCCGTCACGTATCGAGAATAAGATTTAGCCGTAAATAGGTGCGGCCGAAAGGTGGTACCGTTCTTTTTCTTTGAAGAAGAAGCAATAATGACATCTTATATGATGGCATACATGCATAGTAGCGCCAGTATGGTCACGGAGTACTCCGTAGATACAAGTTCTTTAGGGCTATTTCCCCACATAATAGAGGCCTGGATTCCGAAATCGGCGCAATCACCGGCCAATCACAGCGAATACAAATAACAACCGGACGAAAAAAAAAAGGGAACATTCTTATCTTCTCCCCAGTTTCTCCCCAAACTTGACATTAGTGAAGATGGTGAGCCAGCTTGTTTGGCAGCGGGTTTCTGCCTCTCGTGGGGTATGTATACATCGAAGACAAGCTCAATTGAACAACCTAACACCTTATAGATGGCCACACGGCTTTCATCACAACGGCTCTTCGCCCGTGGCCTAGCCACCGAGGCCTCCTCCTCCCGCATGCCCCCATATCCCAAGCTTGTCCGCAACCTTGAACATGTCCGCCGAGTCCTTGGTTCCGACCGCGCCCTCACCCTCGCCGAGAAGATCCTCTACGCGCATCTGGACAATGCCGAGGAGTCATTGCTCACCGGGACCAACAACGGCCGCGACATTCGAGGCAAGGCCAACCTGAAGCTGAAGCCCGACCGCGTCGCTATGCAGGATGCTTCGGCCCAGATGGCTCTGCTCCAATTCATGTCCTGCGGTCTTCCCTCCACCGCCGTCCCGGCCAGTATCCACTGCGACCATATGATTGTCGGCGAGCGTGGTGCCGATACCGATTTGCCGGCTTCAATCAAGGGTAACAGTGAGGTATTCGACTTCTTGGAGAGTGCCGCCAAGCGCTACGGTATTGAGTTCTGGCCCCCGGGTGCCGGTATTATCCACCAGAGCGTGCTAGAGAACTACGCCGCCCCTGGATTGATGATGCTCGGTACGGACAGCCACACTCCCAACGGAGGTGGTCTTGGTGCTATTGCCATCGGTGTTGGTGGTGCCGATGCTGTTGATGCGTTGGTTGATGCCCCTTGGGAGCTGAAGGCTCCTAAAGTTCTCGGTGTTCGCCTCGAGGGCAAGCTCAGCGGATGGGCTTCGCCTAAGGATATCATTCTATCCCTAGCTGGCAAGCTGACCGTTCGCGGTGGCACTGGCTACATCATTGAGTATCACGGCCCTGGTGTCGAGACTCTCAGCTGCACGGGTATGGCTACCTGCTGTAACATGGGTGCTGAGGTGGGCGCTACCACATCGATCTTCCCCTTCTCGCCTAGTATGGTTCCCTACCTGCAGTCCACCCACCGCGGTTATGTCGCAGATGCTGCTACCGAGGTTGCCTCCGCCGGCCCCTCGAGCTTGCTGCGCGCCGACACCAAGGCCGAGTATGACCAGGTGGTCACTATCAACCTATCCGAGCTCGAGCCGCACATCAACGGTCCCTTCACTCCCGACTTCTCGGTGCCGCTATCCAAGTTTGCCGACACCGTCCGCGAGAAGAAGTGGCCCGAGACCTTCGGCGCCGGCCTCATCGGTAGCTGCACCAACTCCTCGTACGAAGACATGACCCGCGCCGAGGATCTCGTCAAGCAGGCTACCGCAGCAGGCCTCAAGCCCAAGGCGGATTTCTTCATCACTCCCGGCAGTGAACAGATCCGCGCCACTCTCGACCGCGATCAAACACTAAACACCTTCTCCGAAGCCGGCGGCATCGTCCTCGCCAACGCCTGCGGCCCCTGCATCGGCCAATGGAAGCGCACTGACGGCGTCCCCAATGGCGAAGATAACGCCATCTTCACCTCCTACAACCGCAACTTCCCCGGCCGTAACGATGGCAACCGCCGAACAATGAACTTTCTCGCCTCACCGGAACTCGTTACCGCGCTCGCCTACTCCGGCAGCACAACCTTCAACCCCATGACCGACTCCCTGACCGCACCCGACGGCTCAGCCTTCAAGTTCCAGCCCCCCAGCGGCTTCGACCTCCCCAGCGCCGGTTTCGAAGAAGGTAACCCCAACTTCCTCCCCACAGCCGCCGTCCCAGACGCAAGCAGCGAAGTCATTGTCTCACCGACCTCCGACCGCCTCGCCCTCCTCGAGCCCTTCGCCCCCTTCCCCAAGGGCGATCTCTCCGGCCTGCAGGTCCTATATAAAGTCAAGGGCCAGTGCACAACCGACACGATCTCCGCCGCAGGCCCATGGCTGAAGTACAAGGGCCACCTGCCCAACATCTCGGCGAACACCCTGATCGGCGCCGTCAACGCCGCAACCGGCGAGACTAACGTCGCCTACGACGAAGCCGGCAAGCAATACGGTATCCCGGAGCTAGCAGAGGCATGGAAGGAGCGCGGGATTTCGTGGCTCGTTGTTGCAGAGGATAACTACGGCGAGGGCTCTGCGCGCGAGCACGCTGCGCTGCAGCCGCGCTACCTCGGCGGCCGGGTTATTGTTGCTAAGAGCTTTGCCCGCATCCACGAGACGAACCTTAAGAAGCAGGGTGTTGTGCCTCTTACCTTCACAAACCGTGAGGACTATGACCGTATCGATGCTTGTGATAAGGTTGATACTGTTGGTCTTTACGATGTGCTGCAGACTGGTGGACAGGGTGAGATCAAGCTGCGTGTTACTAAACAGAAGACTGGGGAGGTGTTCGAGGTCCCTGTTCAGCATACTTTCAGTCAGGATCAGTGTGGATTTATCCTTGCTGGTAGTGCCTTGAACCTGTTGGCTAAGAAGGCTCACTCTTAAAGAGAGAGTGGAGCAGGTGGAGGTGGATTACAGACTGTTTTGACACCATAAAAATGGGTTGGGTTCGATCTGGAGTTGATGATTTGGTTGGAGTACATATTGTAGTCCTCTCACCTTGTATATGATGAATTTTGATGGTTTTATATTTGTTTTGCCGACTAGATGATATCCAATGTGATCTGTATTCTACTGTTTCCTGGTTCACTGGAGTAGAAGTGCAAAACGAAGTTGGTATAGTAGTAAATAAGTACTAAACCGAGAGATTCAAGTCATTCGATTGAGCCATCCATTGTATGTTATGGTATATAGTGTTGAAGCTGTGACATCGAAACGAAACGAGACAGAATCCATGATAGAAGAAGAGAAAGAAAGAAGGGAAGAAAAGAAGTTGGGCATGAAACGAGCATGGGAATATCATAAAAGAGCATCATGATGCCTGGTTCTTTCATAAGTAATGAGATGGGTAGAACAGTAACCACCTGCAAAGGGGAAGTCGGGAGATCAAGAGAAGGAGAACGACCCAAACGACGGCATAATAAGCACCGGTGTCTAAAAAGACCAGAAAAAGAAAAACAAAACACCAAGACAATCATATGTCCTGATTGCCGAGCTTCGGAAATCCTCAGACATCTCCGAGAGCATCCTATATCTGAACGCCAACAAGCCTTTTCTATACTAGCAGCATCGAAAGCAAAAGAATCGGCTTTGTGCAGATGAATGCATCATGCAATAACCTTTTGAAACCTGGAACAGCAGGAAAAAGAGAAAAGAAGAAAATAGGAAGAAGAAAGGAAGAAAGAAAGAAGGAGGGAACAGACAGCAAGCAGAACCAGTGTCATCCAGTCCACTTCTGATCAGAGTACCCAGGGTCCCCAGAATTGACCCCCAGCATCTGACCAGAGTTATTGACACCGTACATACCCCCATGGTTATTACCATAACCGCCCATCCCCGAATCATCCTCGTCAAAGCCAAATTCCCCACCAGAGCTAGCATCAAAGCTACTCCGCCCACCAATATCACTCGGATCATCACCCACAGCCGAAATCTGGTCCCACTGCAATGTCTGCAAAGCCGGGTATTGCGCCAGAAGAGCAGCAGGAAGAATAAAGTTGCCCGTCGATTGCCCATCCATGCCGGGCATGTTGGGCATAACGAGCGGCTGGGGGATTGGCTGGAGATGGCCGGATGGCGATTGTTGCTGTTGCTGCTGGTGCTCTAGCAAGACGCGGTCACGCTCTCGCGATTCCTCATCCAGAAGAGGCTTGATGCATACCCGGCCCGCCTCGGAGCGGAAGTGGCGGCCCAAAGCGTCCGCACGGGCGAAGCGGCGGCCGCAGCCCCATTGTCCGCTTCGCGAGAGCTCGCCGCGGCAGATGAATTTCTTTTCGCCGGAATGGAGGCCTTCGTGGCGTTTGCGGTCGTGCTGCCGTGCGAATGCTTTGCCGCATACTGTGCACACGAATGGTCGTTCGTCGGTGTGGGTGCGGAGGTGGGATCGCAGGTTGTATGCGCGGGTAAACCGTTTCGGACATAGGGTGCACTGGAAGGTAGCTGGGTGTTTCTGAATTCGTTTTGGCTCCCCGGGTACTGCTCCGGGCCTTTGTGGATCGGCGAGATCTAGGATGTAGTTCCGGTTCTCGATTGATGAGGTGGAGAGGCGTCGGTTTGATCGTGAGGGCGAGGGATCTCGCGAACTAGGACTACTGCGCGAGCCAATCGATCCAACAGGGGACAAAGATCGTGGGGTGGCAGGCGCGCGGGGCTCTAGAGAAGTTGCTGAAGTTGCAGGAGAGCGTGGGCGGGAAGCAGGGTGATAAGGATCAGATTTGCTACGAACACGGGATCCTAAGTTCTGTTTAGTATCGTACGAATCAAACTGTTGTAAATCGTCACTTACGCATAGCCGGAGGGCTCAGTGAGTCAAAGTCTGCCGTTGATTTGGCTGGGCCGAAGCTTGGAGCTCGTGATGGCGGGGCAAACTCAACATTGATCGATGGAGGAGCCATCTGTGAAGCTTGACCAATGTCGCCCGGGATGTTATTCAATTGGCCCAAGTTCATCATGTCTTCTTGGGGCATTCCGTACATGTCTGTCGGCGCAGAGGGGAACTGAGTGAGATATGAATTATTCGGCACCATCTCATTCCCCTGCTGTGGCA